CTTAAAAAATATTTCCTGTTTTGATATATTTTGAAATTTTTGTAAACATATTTTTATTTTATTTTTGTAAATTCTTTTAGTGTTTTTGATTGTCTTTAATCTTTTTTTAATGTTAAAATTAAGTTCTTTTTGTTATTTTCTTCCAAAAAAAATAAATTACTAATTTTATTGAAAATCACAATTATATTCATTTATTTTTAACCTTTAATAATTCTCTCAGATAATTAAAATAAATATTTGTTGATTAAAAAATTTAAGCGATCAAACGGAAATAAATTAAAAACATATTTATATTTATTTAAAGATTTTGCATTTTATTAAAAATATTATTTTTTACTAAATTTTAGATAAAAAATAAAATTTATTTATTTGTTAACAACTAAATAATTAATTAAAACAACAATACAAAATAGTATATATTTAATTTCGAAATATATTTACTAATTTAATAATCTTTTTTGCAAAAAATGTCAATGAAGATGCAGCAATGGTAATTACATAATTTATATTTTTTATTTATTTTTTTAATTAAAAAAAGTTGAATTTCTAATTTAAGTATCCGGCACTTGTAGAAAATAAAGTGCCTGCATTACCTAAATAGGATCAGAACCAGAGCTGCACGAAAATAAAATTTCGCACTCAACGAAACGAAAACGAAAAAAAATAAATTCGTCAATGTACGAAACGAAAACGAAACGAAAAAATAATTTTTATTTTTGCGAAACGAAACGAAACGAAAAAATCAAAATTATAAAAATGCCTAAGTTATCGCCTAATTTTTTCACATAATTCACCTTCAATGCATAAATTGCTTTCAAAAATTTAATGAAAGCAATTTTAAATTTAATGAAAGCAGATATTCTAGCAGGAATTAATGCTAGAATATCTGATAATACCAAAATGTCCAGAATACTGCTAATCATTCAATGAACCTCATAAGCACTCCCAATCCCTCTATATCAGTGGTGACCACAAATGAAAAGAATATCTTGGATTTTGCGTGATATCTGGAGAGTATATATCACCTAGGATAGATTAAGAGGGATTTTGAGGTATATCGGAAAAAATATTACTAGGATTTCACCGGGGTGCCAATTCCAAACCACTAAAATAGGACGCAGCCACTCAAAAATGTGGCAAAATTGGACAAAAATAGGGCAAAAATTAGTGCATGATTTTAAAAATTAATTAAAATCTCAAACAAAAAGCAGTATTTTGCATATTTTTGGTAGTTTTAACTAAATTTAGCAGGCGAAATTTTGGGATTATTTGAGCTAAATTTCTTTTGAGAAGAAAAATTTTGAGAAGTTTTGAAGGCTAAGTCATCAAATTTTTTTATTTTTTAGCGCCGCAGGCAAAATTTTTAGAATTTTAAGTTTCTGGGAGATAAATTTTCAATTTTTGGCTTAAAAATACGACAAAATAGTAAAAAAATTGTCTAAAAATAACGAATTTTTTTTGTCATTTTCGTATAAAAATGGCATGTTACGAAACGAAAATGAAACGAAAATATATTTTTAATGAAATACGAAACGAAAGAAATGAAAAAAATTATTTTTAAACGAAACGCGAAACGAAACGAAATTCATCAAAAAATCCACGAAAATCTACGAAACAGAAACGAAAAATTTTCGTGCAGCTCTGATCAGAACTTTGAGAACCTCATTGATAATAGGAATAGGATTAAGTTACGAGCATAGAACCCAGCGTCCGTCGACTTCCCGCGAGGGTCTGTGCCGCAAATCCCTTTAAGTTTTTATTCTGTTAAATATTCCAACAAAATATCTTAAATTTGGAGAAATTTTAAATTAACTTTTAAAAACCTTTTTAAGATTATTTATTTTTTAGTCAACGGCACAAAATAATAAAAATATTATTATTTAGCAATATAGTACAAATATTTTTTCTGAATTTGTTCTTTTCTTTAGAATCAAAAGTTTATTTATTTTATAGTTTGGCATTAAAATACCTAAAATAATTATATATTTAAATAAATAATTATATATAGTTTAGTATATTTTTGTAGCTCGGACTGCAAAGAACTCAAATAAATATTTATTTTACAATTCTATTTTAACAATTAAATAAACTTTTAAGCACTTACCTATCTCTTTTCTCTCTCAATTAATTAACTTAATCTATTAAAGATAATTATTAGATATTAAATACCTCAATTAAAGAATTTACTGTAATTTCTTTTCCCCCTTAGTCACTACTTCCTTCTAAATTTCTTTTCCATTTTCGGCGTACTTTCAAATAATTTTTAAATGCCAAGTAATTTTGTTTATACATGTACTTTTTGCGTGCCTTAAAGTGTACTATACTTTAGTTTTTTGCCATCTTTTCTTTTTCTTTGGCACAGGAATATTAAAAATAAAAATAATTTTTATTTTAGTAATTAGCAGTTCTAATTTTAAATAAATAAAATTGTTTATTTAAAAATAGTAAAATATTAATTTAAATATATTTTGGGTAATATTTAATGTTAAAATACAAAATATGTTACTACAAATATTAATTAGGAGAAAGTTTTAGTTTCCGGCATTTTTTTTGAAACTTTCCTTTTGCCAAATGAACAGGAATTTCAAAATTCTAGTGTTTAAGAAGACAAGATCTGTACAATAAGGTTGGCGGATAGTTGGAAATCTTTAGATATCCGATATCCGAACCGAAAATTTCCAAAAAAAAATTCGGATCCGGATCCGCCAACCTTACTGTAGGAAATATTTCAAAGATTTTTCTGAGGGCTTAGGGAAATTATTGTCATTAATTTTGTCCGATCCAAAAATTTCCGGACCTTTTACATATTTTTTTAATTTTTTTTCCTTTTTTAGTAACAGTACCAGTAGCAGCCCTGGAGCTACTCCAACAACATTACAACAACAAGCAACAAACCTAAACAAACTTGCAGTTCCCGTTGTTGAAGTTCCTGTAGTAGCGCCTGTTGTTGTTCCTGTTGATTTACCTGCTGGGACACAAATTGTTGTTGAGGCACAAGTAGGGGAATTTTATTTTTTTTAATAATTTTCAGATCATTTTTTGATAAATTAAAGTAATTTTGTGAGGAAAAAAACCTTTTTTTGATTTATAAAAAAACTTTCTTTAAGAGCTTCGAATACTTTAGGAGTTAGGAATATTATCAGTATTTTCAATTTCCTTTTATTAATTCAATCAAATATTCTATTTTTATCTCCCTACTTTCATTTTCATTCTATTTTTAAAATAAAGAATGTTAATTAATTATAAAAATAATGTAGTTATTTTAGGGGGCTTTTTGTTTATCACAAAAATTTTCAAAAAAAAAGTTTTTACTTTTAGTCACAAGGCAACATATTAAATAAATTAAAATAAATAATAAAAATTAAATATACTTTTCAAGGTTGATAACAAAATTATTTAGTTAATTAGAAAAATATTTTTTAACAGAAAATAATTTTTAAAAATAATTAGTAAGCAATTAAAATATATAAATATTTAATTATTCAGGTTTTGACTTCAGACGTTGATCGTACTATTGCTGAGGTGGAAAAGTTGGAAAGAGTTTAATAATTTTTTTCTGTTTTAATTAAAATAGTAAACTCCAGCTTTCTCTAATAAAGCCCCCAGAATTCGAATTAGTGTGTTGGAAAATGTTCTTTTTTAATTTTTAAGTTATATTTTTCTAAATTTCCGATGGTTTTTGGATCATTTATTCAGGCATCTAAAATTTATTTTTTAAATATTGGATCGAAATATTTCATGAAAATCTTAAATTAATGTTCCCCCAATATTCATTAAAGTCTTTAAATTTTGTATTTTCTATTAATTTCTAAAAAATTATTTTAGCAAGAAAGACAAGCAGCTATTCATCAACAACAACAGCAACAACAAAATGATCCTTCAATTAATCTTTTGGTTAATTCACAACAAAAACAAAATTTACAGCAACAAACAGATATTGGACAATCTTTAATTTCTTCTTCTATTAATTTAACTCAAATGGCCGTCCCTACACTTTCTGGATCTTTACAAAATAATTCTGGGGGAAATATTTCCGGTTCCTCTATTAATTTTGGAGCCAGAGGAGTTGTTAGTAATAATAGTCAACAACAACAACATCCAAATTCCATGAGGACTTTGTATGTTTTTTTATAAACTGATAAATATTTTGTTATTTTTAACACGTACACAAGTCTTGTTAATTTTTATCTTTATTCATTAAGGGTCTTCCTACTAAATTAACAAGAAAAATTTTTTTTAAAAATATTCTTTCCTTTTATTAATTTAAAAAAATATTCTCTTTAAACAGGTTTTGTCGAAAATGTGAAGGTCACGGTCTTCAAATAGCACTTAAAGGCCATGCAAGTTCTTGCCCTTATAATAGTTGTACTTGCAAAACGGTATTTAATGTTAATTAAATATTTAAGAATAAATTTTCTCGCTTTAAAGTGTCAAAATGTTATGAGCCTTAGAGCTAATGCCATAATTAGGAGATATCGAACACGTACTTCTGAATGCGGGTTGGTACTGAAACCGGTACATTTCAAGAATGGCAACACTCGATTAAGGGTCTTTCCGAAGTTTATTAGTGGTGAGTTTTTAAATGAGGCGATTTTAATTCGGAGAAAGGGGTGTCCACATTACAGTATAACCTGTATTAATTGCCCTCCCTCAAATAATTACCCCACTTCCATTTGCCCCACTTCCCCTCGTCCATCCCCACTCCCATCCAGCGATAGATTGAAACAATAATTACCCCCATCAAATGCCTAAAAAACGTTCAAATTTCAAACCTCGTATAATTATCTCCTCTTTCACCTTTAATCCTCCTTCTCTTAATCCCTAATTTGAATTAACTCCCTATTTTTGGACTAAATGTAACCTTTTTTAACATCTTTCCTGTCCCTGCTCTAGAGTATTTTCTTGGTTTTCGGTTTTAGGAACCATCCATAACGAACACCTTCCCTCAAAAAAGTTAATTTCTAACAAAGGATTAATTCTGAATTTAATTTTAAGAAGAAGAATGCCTCCCAATACCCCCAGGAACACCTCGAACTGTTGAACAACAATTAATAGGAAATATCTCTGAAGAACAATTAATTACTAGTGGAAATTCTGAACAAAATATTTGTCAACAAAATAATTCATTACCTCCTTCCTCTTCATTTTCCTTTGGTTCTTCTTCATCAGCAACTGGAGTTTCTTTAATTTCAAAAGCTCTGAGTTTAAGAAATTTATCAACAACTAATTATGGGACTGAAGGGATAATTACTCCAATAAATATTTCTAATTTATCTTGTGATAAAAGAATTGCTAATAGTGATTCTAATGAAGTAATTATATTTAAAATCTTGAGGGGAATTAAAAATTTGGGTCTTTTTAAGTTCAAAAGCTCTGAAGTTCAAAAGCTCTGAGAAAAAGCCCCAAATTAAAAATTTGGGTCTTTTTAAGTCCTTTTTTTGGTCCTTTTTTTTTATTATTTCCCACGAAATTTCCTTTTTATAATTTTAAATTTTCTTTAAAAATTTACAGAATATGGATATAAATTCACCAAAACGTGCCCATTCTCTCGAAGGAAATTTAACTAACACAACAGCTCCAAATACCCCAATGGAAGATATAATAATAGCTGACCAAACACCCCCAAGTCAACAACAACAACAAATAACAACATCAGATTCCCCTTTTAGACCTTTATGTTCTTCAAATCGTTCTGGACAAATGAATTTATCTACACAATCTTTGGCTGCATTATTTCCATCTTCTATTGGTTCTGGAGAAGATTATTCTAAAGGAGGGGGAATTGAGAGGGGAATAATTAATAATAATAACAACAATGAAAATACTACAACTCCGGCTAATACTTATTATGGATCTTCTGTATGTGTTTTTTAATAGTGTTGTCTCCGGCCCGTCGGAAAGAACTTTTACAAGGAAAGGAGATGTCGGGGAATGGGATATCGTGAATTGGGGTCAGGAACACGAATTTTGTCGGGATTCTGGGTGGCTCCATGAAGGCATTCATTATCGGGCGGGGGTAGGAAATCGGGGTAGAGGGACAACCCAAATTTATAATTTACTTATTTTACAATTCGAAAGATGTCACTAAATGCTCTCAATTTGGGTTTCCTTGGTACTGGAATGACTACAAACAACAACAATAATACTAACACTAATAACAACTACGGCTTTCAACAACAACAAACACAACAATTTGTCCAACCTCGTTTTGACCAACAACAATTTGGAATGTTTGGACAACAACAAACAAACACACCAGATAATACAAACATTCAACAACAACAACAAAACCTCCTTTTGACTTTGTTGTTAAATCAAATAATTGGCTCTCAACAACAAATGCAGGTAATTGTGTAGATGTTTTGGGATGTTTTTGAGATGTTTTTTTTTAATTTTAAAGACTCCTCTACCTCCACAACTTGACCCTTCTCTCAACCTTTTACTTGGACAATTAACATCAACATCAAGCTCAACTTCTGGAGGTCAATTAAATCAATTAATTTCATTAATTCAACAACAACAACAATCTTCCACTAATTCCCCTTCATTTTCTTCACCTAATTTATTAATTCCTTTACTCGAATTAATTGCTCAATCCCAACAACAACAACAACAACAAACATCTAATAATAATAATATTCAATTGCCTTCATTACAACAACAAATACCTATTTTTGGACAACAAACAACAATTCCTTCAACAACGGGGAGTGGAGAAAATTTTGGATTAAATAATAAATTTAGTTTTTCTGATACTTTTAGTGAAGGTAGTAATTTTTTTTAGAAATTATTTTTAAAGAATTTTACATTTTGGGAAACCATCTTTTTATTTTTGACTTACTAGCAAGTAGATAAATTATTGAAAAAGAGGGAATATTTGTACTCATCTGATAGAGGATAAATTAATAATCTATTTTAATATTTTTCTTTTAGAATTTAAAATTCGAAAGATAATTTGAGAAAAGGAAAATTTATGCGCTTGGCTCTCTTTTTTCCGGCACCATAAAAATTTAAATTCCTGAAACCCTTTTCCATCCAAAAAATTCTTTTTTTTAAATCATTAAATTAAATCCTAAAATTTTATTTTAAATTAAAGGTCTTCGTTTGGGATTAGATCCATTAAATAATCCCCAACAACAACACCAAAGACAACCTCCATTACCAACACCAAGTGTTACTTGTTTACCAAATAATTCTTCTTCCTCTTCTTCTACTCCACCTGAACGTATAACAGAAACTTTATGTTTAGCATCAGATTCTCGTCATCGTTTATATGACCCACAATTTCAACAATTTTTGGGGATTGTTAGAGAACTAGAAAGGCATATGTTTGGGGGAAATACAGCAAATATTCAAACAAGTTCTGGAAATTTTCCAACAAACATAACACAAAATAATGATGATAATGCTACACAAAATGAAGTTATTCAGCAAAGAAAGCCATCAACTCCATCGTCTTTTATTTTTTAATTTGACAAAATTTTATATGTATTTCGTCGGACCTCTTTTTAATTTTATTTTTGTTTTTCAGGCAGAAGAACGGTCACAAAAAATCCAAAATAATTTTCAAAATTTATATATTTTTCCAACAATCTCATGAAAAAATAGAAAAACAACTGAATTTAAAAAACCGTTTATCTCAGGGGTGTATTTGTGATATGTATTATCGGTCGACCGAAATAGTACTTAATGACTTTTGAGTAAAAAGTGCAAAAGGGGTCCGATTTTTTTAAATAAGAAAATTTCTACATATAAACATAGAAAATGTCATTCCTAGAGCTATACACTTAAATACACTATAAATACAAATATTTTTTATTTGATTTTATTTAAATTTTAAAATGTATAATTGGATAAAATAAAAATATAAAATTGTATTTTAATTTTTCTTAAAGGAAAACTAATTCCGAAATTATTTTTTGAACTTAATCTCGAGATATTTTCTCGAGTAAATAAAAATACATTGCGAAGTTTAGAGTTTCTTTATTTTTAAAACAAAATAAATATAAAAATATTACCTACAAACAACTATGTATATCAACAATAATTGCTTATCTTATTTTTTTATTAAATTATCAATTACTAATTTCTCATATCAAATTTTTGTTTTTAAAATTTTTTTTCGTTCTTCCTCATTTTTTATATTTTATTGATTTGGCGCTGTTTTACACGTTTTTTTAATTTAAAAAATTTTTATATGTAATCCTTATCATAGATTCAAAGGGCTTAATGTCCAGGTATTCTGAAATGGGGAAGAAGACAACCTAACATGGTATTAAAGACTAATACACTAAACCTAGTATTAGAGACCAGACTCGGAGGGTCGTACAAGATCTACATTTCGAAAAATATTGATTCTCGAAAACCTAAATTTTTCTTAAGATCTCAGTTCGTTCTGTTTTTTTCTTTAAAGTTTTTTTAAAATCTTTACAACGTGTTGGCACATACATACAGTGCCGGAAAAAAAGATAGAGCCAAAGGCTTTTAAATTAATTTTTATCAATTATCTCTTTTCGATTAACTTTTAGAAAAAAAGTTTCAACACAAAAATTGTAGATCTTTAAATGCTCTTTAAAATGAGTATAAATATCAAGATTATTTACCGTCAAAATTTTTACTAAAAATTTTTAAAAATACTATCTCATTTTTGGGGTGGAAAAAAAGATAGAGCCAAACATTTGAAAATTAAAATCCCAATTTTCATTCGGTCAAAAAATTTACAAAAATTTCTGGGGTCATTTCTATCGATAACTAGTAGAACAGAAAAAAGAACGAGATCTGTAACTTCTTTTTTGATCGAGATCTCAAATCTCAAAAATCAACGGAAAACGGGGGTACAGTACTTTAAAAATGATTTTAGCCCCCAAGGGCTTATATAAAAATTTTCTTTTAGGCTCATTGGAAAGTCCATAAAATTCTCTACAAAAATATCTTAACATAAAATTTTCCGCCAAAAGATTCATGGGGATAAAGGCCGAGAAATTAAATAAGTTATCATTTTTGGGGTATTTTGGAAGATTTTGAGCATTTGTAATGTAAAATTGACTTACATCAAACAGATATTTTTTTAGAAGAATTAATTTCCGGACTATTTTGTAGTAAATTTTATGGGCTTTCAGATAGGCCTAAAATAAAATTTTTAATTTAAGCTCTAGGGGGTTAAAATATTTTTTGAAGTACTGTACCTCGATTTTCCGTTGATTTTTGAGATTTCAGATCTCGATGAAGAAAGTAGTTACAGAATTCATTCTTTTTGTTTTTCTACCCAGTATTGATGGAAATATTGGCAGGAATTTTTGTAGAATTTTTGACCGAACGAAAATTGGGATTTTTAATTTTTTATTATTTGGCTCTATCTTTTTTTCCACCCCAAAAACTGACTAATTATTTTTAAAAATTTTTGGTGAAAAGTTTGCTGATAAATCATAGTGATATTTATACTCATTTTAAAGAGCATTTAAAGATCTACAATCTTTGTCTTGGAACTTTTTCCCTGAAAGCTAATCGAAAGGAGATAATCGATTAAAACTAATTTAACAGCCCTTGGCTCTATCTTTTTTTCCGGCACTGTATCTCTGAATCTTTCGAGGCGCTAAATTCGAGTGATTATTGAGTTTTTGAACTCAAGGATCTTAATTTAATTTTCACCCGTTTGTTGGTTTTCTCAAATTAATTAAGTGTTACTTAAAAAATAATTATGAGATTTAAATTTATTAAAAATAATCTCACAAAATAATCTTCCCTTCTTTACCGCTTTTTTTGAATTTTCCTTCTTTTCTCCCTTAATACTTTTAGGTTCAAAAATAATGCAGCGTTCTTTTTTTAAGTTTTACATTCGTCTTTAAAGTTTTTCCTAGAGCAAAAAACATTTTTAACGGTCATTCGTATTAAAAGTAGACAAAGAATGGGAAATCATTTTTAAATGCTAAAATATTCTCTCCTCTTTTTGCTCCAAGCAAAAGAAGCGCCAAAATAAATATTTAAATGCGCAACTATATAGCGCAGTGACAAAACCTTTTTATTTTCTTTTCTAAGTTTGCATAACCATCTGTTGCTTTTTTGTTTTCTAAATAAAATGCAAATAAAGAGGAAATTCAGGCAACTTGGAAAAGGCTAAAAATATTGAAGGAAAAGAGTGGGAAAAATGCTCATTTAACAAAGGTCTTCCTTCTCTTTTTTTGAATTTATTAAAAACTTTTCTTTATTTAATCATTTCCTATCGTTTTTTTTAAATTATAGGCTTAAAAACAAAAAAACTCTCTAAATAAAGAAAAGCAATAGAGAAACGTTCAAATTTCCACATTTATTAATTTATTTGGCGTTTTGCCCAAAGCATGTCCATCACAACGGAAAGAGAGAAAAATACACTCCGCCTTCATTTTTTAAAATAATATAAAAGGAATTTTATTAAAGAGGCTCTTTCTCCATTTATTTTTAAACCTGTCTTCAATAATTAAGTTATGTTTCTGTTCTGCTGCTCACTGGGTGTTTAGTCCAGTCCACCTTTATTTCACTTTGTTGGTGACTAGACAAACAACTAGTGAGTTGCGTTCTAGAAGTTTTGTAAAATTTGCTTAGATATTATTTCAGTTATTCGAACATTTTCTTCTATTTTAATTTTCTTCGCCTTATTCCGCGGGGACTTTACATTGTGCAGCGTTAATATTTTTGGTGTAATTTTTGACATCATCGTTGCACATGTTTAGGCCCATCGGTGGTCAAGATCTTCAACAATAATTATATTCAATTACTTCAAAAATGCTTCGAATTTGGCGTCTACCCGATCGAACTTTGCGATACCCTGTGTGTGTCCTTTCTAGGCACATCACCATAAATGGTGGTATCACAGTTCCGTCTGGTACCCGCCAATTCGTGAAAAGCTAATTTCTTCAATAAATTAAAAAAAAAGAATTTTTTATTTAACAAAATATAATTTTAAGTGAATTAAATTTAACAATATATTTGCATAATTAGTCGGGACAGATAAACAAACTGAATCACAGAAAAAGCAGTTGAAAAAATTTACAGCGCGGGCTATTGCTACAATTAAAACTCAGAAATTCTAATATTTTTAAATGAATGTTTTAATTTAAAAAGGTGAATAGCTCGTAGCGGAGACAAAAATATTTTTATTCCATACGTGGAAGCGCCATAATTAGTAAGTGTACTCTAAAAATTATTAAACATCAAAAAGAATTTCTGGAATGTTGAAAAACAAATATTCTGTATCTTTTATTTATTCTCATTTATGTGTAAATTTAAAAGAAGTAATGTCTGATACGAGTTGAGGCATGTCATTAATGCTAACTCTAATTGTTGGTCACATCTAGAACTTGGAATTAGTTGAACCTAAAAAATTTGTATGAAAATTAAAATAAAATTCAATTACCAAATTTGGGTGTAATGTAACCAAATGTGAATATAATACACTTGTTGGATTTCTTGAGAATCCATCAATTAGTGCACTAACTGCTCTCAATGCTAAATTCAGTTATTTTTTAAATTAGTAAAACTATTTAACCTGAAATTGCTTCAAAAACACGTTCCTGTGGTAAAGGTGGAAAATGGCCACCACAACGTTGTTCATCACGTGCGAAGCAATTTAAGACCTGAAAGGTTGATTTGCTAACATTAAGTTTAATGTTAATTTTTGAGGAGAGGAGGTCTTGTCTAAAAGGACAAAAGGTATTCACCCTTGTATGGCAACTAAAATAGTTCCTAGAATTATATCAAAAAAATTCTAACTTGTTTGCAGCGATTCAACAGTGAAGAAATTGCTGTAGCCCCCAAAGATGAAGAATTTTTTGCACTTGCAACTGCTTGTCTATGCGATTGACTAGTTGTGTTTCGTAAAAAACCTCCATCATTACGAGGATGTACAGGAGAAGAAGTAAAGAATGATGAAGAAATTGGTTTATTAGTTTCTTCCTCCATTTGGCTAAGAGAAAGTAAAGCATCAAAACAAACACGGCTAAGATCAGTTCGCTGTTCATGTAGGTCTGAAGCTTGAGACGTAGCGAGATTGGGCTTTGATTATTTAGCGCATAGATAAAAAGGTTATAAAGCAAAAGAAGATTAAAAGATGTGAAGAGATTTTGAAAGAATTATCATAAATGTTAGTGATACTTGTGTTTTATCTCACACAAGCTCTTGCCGGCATATTGATGCGAACTTATTCATATGTACATAAAGTTCAGACTTCTTTCCTCGAAAAAATCCTTTCTTTATTTTCTCATTAAATAATGCGGGAAATAGAGTGAAAATGAGGAAAAAAGTCTGACCATTTTCCACATATGAACGAGTCCGCAAGATCTGGTATGAGATAACTCACAAGTACATACTATGATAGTCTGAACTTTATATTCAAATGAAAATTAAATGAAAAGAAATGAAAGAAAATTAAAGCAAAATGGGAGAATAATGATAAAATAAACATACCTAAAACATCATTAGCATCAATTGTATTTATAGATCCACGATTAAGAATATCAATAATTGAAATCATAAAATCTCTAGGTAATTTATTTGCAAAAGGTAATAATTCAGCACGCAAAAGTTCAACTAAAAGGCAATCAACAAATTCATGCCTCTTACGTTCATCAGCATTGAGAAGTTTTGAAGATTTTCTAGAAATTTTTAAAAAATTTAAATTTTTCTAAAATTTTCAAAAAAAAACTCGTTTTAATCAAAATTCCAAACTTTTACTTTTGAATTTTTAATTTAAATATATTTTTTTATAAAAACTAACGAGGTAGAGAAAAGAAAATTCTCAACAACATTTGCCAAACACGGCCACAATTGTTTAAATAAATTTACTAAAATTTTAAAAAATTAAAAAAACCAATCAAAAACTTTCTTTTACCATTTTCCCTGGCAATTGGAATACCAACTTGACAAACCTAAAGAAAAGAAAATTAAAATAAAAAAATCCAAAATAACTTTATTTAATGTAGCTGCCGCTAATTGCCAAGTAGTTTGGGAAGGACAACGATATTTTAAAGCTAAGGGTTCACCCAATGCCTAAAAATTAAAAATTAATATTTCTAAAATATTTTTTTCTTCTTTATTTATTACTTTAACAATATCAACCAAAATTGTATGTTGAATAACTTCTTCATAAGCTGCAGTCTTTGAATAAAATTCTAAAAGCATTTTCATACTAGTTTCTCCAAAGGTAATTAAATTAGAATTGTTTTTAATATCTTCAATTTCTAATGAATTTGAAGAAGATTTATCAGAAATAAATTTATTTTGTGGCTTTTTCCAAGAAAATTGCATCCACAAAATTAATCTAAAATTATTTTGAAGAAATTTTTAGAGTTAAATAGAAATTTGGATAAAATTGACAAAAATTTGGAATTATTAGATTTGCTAAATTTATTCTGATCAAAATTCGATTCATTTGTATTTAATCGAAAAATAAATAATTTAAATAAATTTTAATAACTCTTTTAAAGCATTTAAAAGTTTAGTTATTTCGAAATGAATTAATTTTACGGAAATATAATTTTCTTACAATCTCAGCATATCAGGCAAAGCAGCACGGAGTCCAGAATTGACATTTTTTGTATCTATTTGTTCCTAATTAATTATAAAAAAATTGTTTTATTAAAATAAACAACTTGAAGTATAGCACGAGAACAACTAAAAAGATATTCTTGTGCCATATTTAAGGGTAATTGTTGTTCTGAACCATTTTTTGAATTAGCAAATAATGTAGAAATTGGAATCTGATCAGAAGATATAGGCACTGATGCTAAATCCTACAGAAATAAACAAATATTTTAAAAATAAAAAAGAATTTTTACAATAAAAATTTGTCCAAGACATTGGAGGCGAATATCATCAACAGGGACTTGTTGTCGAACACGATGGAAAAGCCAGATAAATGTTTCGAGTAAAGTACTCAAATGATAGAGACTAGGCACATAAGACTTTCTATTAAGGAAAAATAAATATAATAGATTAAAAATTCGTCAAAAGATTTTACCTTGTTGTTGGCAAAACAACAGATTTTGAATATCCACTATCAACATCACAAGTAGAAGAAAGGAAAGCATCATCAGTTGTTTCACAAAAATCAGGCGCTAGAATTGATCTCGCAATTTGAAGCCAATTACTCCAAGCACTCATCCAAAGAGGTTCGGGCAGTGAAGGAGACAATGAATGATCGAGAGAATCAATTCTAAACGGGAAAAATAATAAGAATATGTGTTTGGCAGAAAGTTTTGAAGCAATAAAAATTCGTAGAAAAACTAACAATGAATGTTGTTGTAGTTTAGATTTTATACTTCCAGATCCAGGAGTTGAGGGTGATTTATTTCCACTTTGGAGTATTGAAGAACTTTCAGAATTTGTTTGTTGTTGCCTTCCAAAAAGAAGCTCCTGAAAATTCTTCACAGCTGAAAGACTTATTTCTGCACTATCTGTACGTGCTGATAAAACAATATGCCTTAATAATTGGCTCCAACAATCAGAGAAATTTTCTGAAAATAAAAGATATAATAAAAATAATGCATAAAAATAAACCTAATTGAAGCAATGAAGGTCTATGTGCATTGAAAATCTTTACAACACCACCAAGTGTTTTAACACTCGTCTCAGCCCATTGCTTGGACTCACTTTAAAATAAGATAACTTTAAATTAACTATAAAAATTAGTTACGTATCGCGTGAATGATGTATCATTAAATTTGGGGCACCAAGACTATTAGTTGTGTTAGAGCGTTGTGTAGATGCTGTCTGTGCACATTGGTGGACACGACAAAGCATTGGGAAAAGAATCTAAATTTAAGGAAATTTTTGAGTTAATTAAAAAGTCAAATCCCTCCTTTTCCCTCAACTAACTTCTGTCAACATTTGTTCCCAACATTTAATATTCAGTGCTTGTCCGTGGGCAGCAACTGTTTGCAACAATGTATCACAGGCACTTTTACGTACTGGTGGCCGAGGATCAGAACACAAATTACCCAAAGCTTGATAGATTAAAAGCCAAATTTGTTGTTGATCCACTTCCGCTGCAATCTTCCCATGATTTGTCTCGCGACGGACAAAATCAGAAATGTCCCACTGAAAAAATTTAATTAAAAAAAATTTAAAAATCGCACCAGTTGTCCAATAGAGGCTAGAGAAACATTCAAATGTAATTGTTGTTGCCCATAGAGTGCATTTGTCTCAACAAGCATTTCCACACATTCAAAAGGTAAAACAGATAAAAATTCTTTGACCATAAGTGAAAGAGCACGAAAGCCTTGATCAATTAATTGAGGATCAACTCTACTGAAAAAATTCGGTACATTTAAATCCAAATAAATCTAACATTTGTGTATCGGTTGCAACAATAGAACGAACAATTTGTACAATAAAAGGCCAAAGAGGTGTTTCTAAGGTTCGGTTGTCTGCCTGTAGAATTTTCATAAGGCAATCTGAAAAATTGAAGTTTTATTTAAAAATAATAGAGGTTAATTCAGAATTGCTAGAAACTCTAAATTAGGTTAAAAAGAAAATATAAAGTCTTTAATAATGCCGTTGATTCTCCAAAAATATAATCTAAAACGCAAAGACTCACCCAACTGTTTAGCTCTTACATCAGAAAAGCTAATTTCATTCATTGAACATAGAGGGCTAAGAATCAATTGCTCTTTCTTCTAAATTAAAATAATAATTTTTAAATTTAATTTAATTCTTAACTGTAATCTCCTCATCTCCCCCGGAATTTACTCCACCAACTACTTGCTTCATTCCTTCCTCAACAAGTTTTGTCAAAGATATGGATCCCCATTCTCGTATATTATTATTTGAATGAGAACATAACTGTTAAAATAAGAACTTAAAAATCTACAAAGAAAAATTAACCTCCAAAAGATGAGCAGTAACGGGACGCCAAAACACATGTAAGCGCGGAAGATTAACTAAAGCTGCTTGCTGTAATTTAGCAAAAGAGAAGAAAGAAGTCTCCCTCAAACTATGTTGGGCTACAGTCATAGTTTCATTTGAAAGTTTGCAAAGCGCAGCAATTACATGATGAAGAGAAACTTCATCCAATTTACTGGTTGATTCAAAGAGAGACCCAAGTTGTTGATTCTAAATATTTTTTAAAATTAGAAATAGGTATATTGGAAATTGAAGGAAGGACAACCAAAAAACTGTAAAAATATTGTCCGAAAAATACTTTGTCACATAAAATTTTTAGATCAACTGCCAAACCCCGAAAATGATTGATCGAAAACTAGTGTAAGATTATCAAATAGATAAACAACAAACAATATCAGGTAATTCACTGCTAGCCATATTTGTCAGAATTACTGTATTAGAACACAAAACGCCTGAAACAGCACTAGCATTTGTAGTTGTTGTACTTGATAAAGTATTAGAATTTGCTTCTGATACTGGTGTAACATTAGATAGTTCATTCATCCCAGTTCGAAAACTGCCAGTTGGAGAAGGTCGTAGGCCAATTATCCAAACAAAATGCTTAAATGGAATTCAGATAAAATTAGAAATGTTTTTGATAAAAAAAATTCAAAATAATAAAATATCGTTAAAAACCTGTAAAGTAGTCAAAACCATTTCCCAACAATCAGATAATTGCGAACCATTATTAATGGTTAAATTGACAAGTATCCTAAGTACTTGCAAATTCTTGGAAGTTAACTAATATGTAGAAAAATGTTATAATAATTCAAAAAATAGAATAATTACCATTACTGAAGTGTTGAAAAGCTGTGGAGGCAAATAAGGACTTGGACAAACAGTTCCCATTGCCACAATATTATGCTCTATTCCTTTAAAGATAATTTTTGTTTGTGACGTTAAAATCTAATCTTTAATGCCAAAATTTTCCAAATTTCGCCCAAGGGAAGTCGGCAAGTATTACTCGATATTGGAGAAAATTAATTCATTACCCGATCCTAAATCAGACCTGACCTTTAGGCGACCCAATATTTGCATTCAACCATCGGTAACCGATTATAAATACCTTTTTGAAGATCAAAAGTTGTAGAATCATCAGTTGCAGTAGATGAAGAAATATTATCTCCAACTAATGTTCCATTTGCAGTAGTCGAAGCTTTAATAGAGTCAATAAATTTATTGTAATATTGAAAAGGAAGAGTCTGGAAAGACAAAAAAAATTTACACAAAATAAACTTTAAAACTAACAGCTCTGCAAATAGCTTTTAATACTTCACGTCTAGGTTTAGGAAGTTGTAGCCGTAATGCTAATATTCCTAACGAGCAAATACAATTAAGAAGTTGTTCGTTAAGTGAATCATCCACACTGAATTCGTAAAAATTTTTTTTTAATTCTAAGAAAATCACCTGCAGTCAAGTAAGGTAGATAATCCAGCAACCAAGAAATGATATGAAGAATTATACAATTCTTTTGCGAATTCTAAAAAAAAATAATTAATCGAAAGGAGTTGCAACTTGAATTAAACTAATTATTTACCAGAATATTCAAAAGAATCTTTTTGATGATTTTGAAAATATTCTTCAATTGCTGAATGTAAAGAACGTGAAGCAACACAAAAGGTTGCATAGGTTAATGAAAGGCAATAAGCTTCTGGTATTTTTTCTGCATTGTGTTTATCCAACCAGTCTAGAAGAATTAAACGTTTTGACGAAGGATGACTATCACCGAGTGGAAGAAATACACCTAGAAAATTATAATCTGATATGAAAGATTTTATTAAATTTATTTTTACCTTTATAGACAAAACCAGGTTGGACATTATTTTCTCCATCTCTCATCGTAGAACCGTCAATTGCAGCTTCATCTAAACATTTTTTGATAAAAGCGAACAAACGAGAAAATACAATTGCTTCCAAAAATTTGGATCCATCTGGTCTAGTACATAACCAACTATAAAAATATTAAAAGTAAAATAGTATAGGTAGGGAATTATTTTTCAGAATATTTTCGTAAAATCATACAATTTCAAAAAAATTAACAATTATTGTCAAAATCTTTTAAAAATTTTCATAAAGATTTGTTATTTTAAATTTATTTATACCTAAGCAATTTTGGCTGTGACAACATTTTATGTAAAACTTCAATTGCTACAGCTGCCTCCCAAGAAGTACTTGGATGTTGTGCTAGAAGTTCTATTAGAAAGTGAATGATTGCTTCAGATTGGGCACCCAATAAAGAATGATAATTTGTAACCAATGCCAAGGAAATACGTAATGATCTAATAACAATTGGAAAATCTCGACCCGTAGAAGAGGAAGAAGCTGCAGATTTAGCCATTTGTGAAGTTAAATGTGAAGATTGTTGTTGTAATTGTTGATTTAATAATGCTGCAGAGACAGGCAAAGGTTTGTTCTATAAATTAATATTTTTTATTTAAATTAATTCTTAGATTTCATTATATAGTGATAGAAGAGAAATAGCAAATTTTAGAACAAATAAATTGGCAAGTTAACAGTCTCTTAAAATACTCAAATTCTGCTTCTATTAGACCCCCACTCCCTAATAAAACAAGCTACCCCAAAGTTATAAATATTAAAAGTAATTTACTTGATTATCCAAATTATTAGCTTGTGTCGCATTTGCTGCCGCAACAGCCAACATTGCAAATTCTCTCTCTCCAACATGTAACATTTTCGCAGCTATTTGTGCACTTATTTGTGTTTTAAGTAATTCAGCAAATTCTTGGTGCTGTTAAGGAAAATTTTTATAAAATTTTAAAATAAAAAAAACTTTTAAAAAGATGCTTGGATAATTCTTTATCACAGATTCTAACAACTCCAAGCCTAATATAGGCGCAATTCTTTGCAATCCAATAAGCCAATTGGGTTGTTCTCGTCTTATTAAAGCACACAAATCTCTCAATAAAAGAAAAGCATCAGCTGCAGCTGGCCTAAGAGATGGGGGTGCTAGTGTTTGTTGTTGTTGATTAGGAGGTGTTTGTTGTTGTTGCTGAATTTCAGGAGTTTCATCCTCTTTAATAACTCTTTCAAAAACACAACTAAAAAGTTGGCGAACGGCTGCCGAGGCAGCATTAATGACCAATGAATCTTTTGAGGCATTTAGTCGAAAGGTAAGCACAATGCACTCAAATTGAAAAAAAATTATATGAAAATAAACATTTAAATCATACTTTGGCCAATGCCCAATTATTGACAAACAGTTCTGTGCCAACAAATGGAGTTATTGTTTGAATAACTTAAAATTAAAAAAAAACAAATAAGATATTGTAACAGATTAGGGGTGCTCTCAGGCCTCCTTTTCCCTGTTAAAGTTACTAATATCAGAAAAAAAAGTCAAGGAGAAAATTCTAAACTTTGACACAAGTTCAGATTAATATCTAGACGGACGGATGTTCCAACATGAAAATATCCCGGAGTCATATAAGCAATTGTATGATAATTTTAAATAAATATTACCTTTCAATTCTTCGCATTCAGCCTCAGTTAAAATCCAGAGTTCATTAACAATAGACGGCACTACATTTGCCTCAATAACTCTGTTATGAATTAACCTTTGAATAGCTTGTAGCGAAATTTGAACAAGCCGTGGATTTTTACTTGAACACCCCAAAAGAAATGGATGCAATAATTCTGTACAGGAAATTCGCAATGCTTGAATTAAATCAGAATCCTGCTGCGATTCACATGCAGCGCTAATATTACGGATTTTAACTAAACCAGACTCCGCCGCCTTAAAGAACAATTTTTTATTAGAAAATAAAAATTCTCGTACCTCTTTTACATGATTATGTTTCTTCTTTGCATCCATAGACAGTGAACGAAAATCACTCATTAAATAATCAACAAGTTTTTTAGGATCATTTGGTTGAATTCCCATTGTTGGTTGTTGTTGTAATTGTGATGAGGTTGATGAAGTTGTGATTGTTGTCATGCTTTTATTAAATTTTAATTAAACAAAAATGAATATTTAAAAGTCGGATATCTATTTTAAAGACCGTTAATTTTTTAAATTTCTGGGAAAATAGCGAGAAGTTAGGAAAATAGAAACCGACAAATTTTAAGTTAAAATTTTCGATAAATTGTATTATGTCAAAGCACATGAGTGAAAATAACTTTTTTATCAAATATAATGTGTTTATCCTTCCTATAACAGAAAAAAATAAAACTATAAAATACGAATTAAACACATTTCAAAAATAAAAGTGCAAAATTAAAAATGTATATTTTTTGGGATTTTTAAAGATGGCGGGCAGAAAAATTAAATAAAAACTCATTTCTAACAAAAAAATGAACAGAGAGAATTTTAAAAGTATATAATATTTTTTGAAATTAGTGGAGGACCATGAGTATTTATGAAGCAAAAGATTGCCACGAATCGAAAGTTTTTAGATAACAACTGAAATAAATTGAAGAATGAGGGACAAGAGAGAAAGCCGCGAGATCCACAACAACAGCTTTAGGTATTTTTAGTTGTCATCCCCTATTCTTTAAATGGTGAGTTGTTAACGTTGTTATTCAACTAAAATTCTCAAATTTGAAGAAAATTGCAAAAAGATGGCAGGCAAGTTAAAAGAAAAATAACAAAAAAATATTTTAACTATTAAAGACTGCCAGAAGCTGCTTCTGCTCCAGCGGCAGGCATTGGCGCTGCTACACCAGCAGTTGCCGTTGTTGGAGTTGTTGTTGGTTTTGAAGCAATTAAGCCCATAAAATTTTCTGGAACGAGCGAGCATAAATAATCCCAAACTGTAAAAACAGATGACCAAGCTCCACTAATTGCCTAAAAAATAGTTAAAATTTATAAAATTATTTTCATTTTACCAAATGCATAAAATGAAGTGTTTCATCTGGATATTGATGGAAAAGAATAGCGAAAATTGCTACACTAAAATGATTAGGAAATAAATTTAATCTTTTAATTTTTAAAATGTTATAGTCATATTAATGTTACCATGTCATGACTAAACAAAATGATAAAACGGGAAAAAATTACAAACTTTGTCCAATAAATATTAACTTAATCACTAGACAGGAGAATTAGCAGAAGGACCCCCTCCTCATCATATCAACAGTGAAACAAAAAAATTTTAAAACAAACCAACAAGAAAGCAAAGATGCAAATAATGTCCAAAGTGGAGATTCTTTTTTAGGATAAACTGATACTTCGTGATAAGCTTAGAAAGAAAAATAATTTTAAAACTTAATAAAATACAAACGAGGAAATAATTCTTTATCGGCTTGTTCAGTACATGTTGGGTAAGGAAAGAAAAGATGACCCTTCTCGGTGGGATTTGGAAGCATTCGAAAAGCTAATAAAAATAATAAATTAATAAAATTTTAGAATTTACAAACTTCCTTCCCACGTATATTGTAGTAATTGAAGAGCTCCTTCTACTCGTTTCCAATGCTGTAAATGCCAAAATGCATAAGCTACAGCTTCGGAATCACCACGTTTTAAAATATGTTCGGGTGGCATTGTTACAGGTTTTCGTTCCAAGAGATAAAGAGGTACATGAGGATTCTGTTCAAAAAAATATTTTTTAAAAATTTGATGACGAAAAAATAAATCGTAGGAAAAAACTAGAAACAGAAATGGGATTTATCCAGAAACAGACGTTGAATCAAAAACCATGTCAATACAAATACCCATTCAATTTAAAAAAAACTCACAAATTCCACCGCTCTGTGGATAGCTTCAACAGCAGCTAGCTCTGCCGAAGAAAATCCACGTTTTCGCATTGTTTCAGGTTCAAATTTGTCTGCTACACCACGAGCTTTAAGTAAAGCTGAAGTAAAGCAAACAGTTGCTGATTTTGGCATTACACAATCTATAATTTTATGAAAAATAGTGTTAAAAATAGATAGTAATAACCATCATAAGAGTCATATTTAGCTAATACAGCCATAGCATCTGCATAAGCACGTTGCTTTAAAAAATAAAAATAGTCAAAAGATTAATCTAAATACTATATAACCTCCAATAATGCTTCAATTAAATTTTCGTGTATATTCATAACATTCTAAAATAAAAAATAATTATTAAAACTATTAATTTAAAAAGTAAAAAAAACCAATGTTGGAAATTCTTTAATTAACTAAAAAGAAAATATTTAAAAAAGAAAAATTAGAAACAAACATCGCGCATTATTTTAATTGCTTCGCGAACACGTCCTTCTCTTCTCGAGCACATAGCTAGTCGACGACGGATAAAGACCTTTAAATTAAATAATCTTCTCGAAATTAAAATTAATAATATTTTTAAAAGTTTATTATTAAAAATTTAATATTATTCAAGAGAGAAAAGTCAAAACTAATTAAAGCTTGAAACACTAGAAATGAAACTAAATAGTTTTAATTCTAATAGTTACATACAAAATGCCAGTCTTTCCTATTTTGACATGCTCGCCAAACAAAAAATCAAAAACAACACATTTCCAACTACCAATAATTAAATCAAAACTAACCAGCATATTAATATCACGACTTTTTTGTTGAGATTCTATATCAGGATAAACAGCTGCTTGACTTCGTCTATACATTCCTTCAACAATTCTAAGTGCTTTTCTCAAATACTCTTCTACTTCAGATATTGTTTGACAAAATTCTTCTGCTAATCTACAAATTTTTAAATAAATAAATTTTTAATTTAAATAAATACAAAATTAAAGCAGGAGCACATTCAGGATTGCATTTAAGTGCTCTCTTTGCTTCAGATATACGTACTTGACTGTCACGTTCTCTCCAGGCTAACGACATTACTTTAATTTATAAAAAAATAATTATATAATTTAATAAATTTAACAACTTTCTAAATCTTCTTTCCCAGCATCTGCTTCACAACAAAAATATGTTTGGTGATCCTGTGCTGATAAATTCAAATCATAATAAGTTAGGGGCTCTTGGCCTGTTTCTCTGTGAAAACGCCCATACTCTGCACCTCGAAAGAGAGCCATTGGATTTCGCCAAACTTTACATTCATTTTCACGTTCATATTCTTCAAGTTCTTAAATTTTTCAAATATTTCAAAGAATAATAAAAATCTCAAAAAATAGGTGTTTAAAAAATATAAATTTATAAGAAAATTTTTGAAAAATTATGGATTCTAAAAATAATCAAAAATAATTAAACAAAAATAAGAAAGACAAATTTCAAATTTTTCTTTATAATTTGGCTTATTGATTTCAAAAATTTTCATTTTCCCATTAAGTAAATATAATTAAAACCATGCTGTTTTCCATCAATGCTTTCTCTTTCTGAATCGCTTCCATCATCACTACCATCCAAAGCGTTATCAATAGCATTACTAAAATTTCAAAATTAATTCGAAAAAAATTTTTATTTAAAAAAATACAAACAATAAATTTGACAGGAACGTCTTATTTTTAGAAGAACTTTTTCTTTCAGTTAACATAATTAAATATTAAAAATTATTTTTATTTTTGAAAAAACAAAGTTTGCCTCTCACTTTCGTTAAAATAAAAATACAATTTGGCCTTTTATTTGACTTTTACCCACCCATTTGTTGCCCTCGGCAACAAGAAAAAGTTTAAGCGTGTATATAATTAATATAAGTTAATTGGAAATTTAATAAAAAAAAGAGAGAAAGGCGTGAAAAGAATAAAATTCAGTCGCCGTTCACTTTTATTTATTTGCTTTTTGGTTTATTTTATTTAAAAAATTTCTTCCTAAATTAACAAAAATCTAGCTATTTTCTTTTGATTTTTAAAGAACGATCATATATGTCGATAGGGTTGAGGGCCCGATCCGAAAGATCGAGTCGGGCATTGAATTTTGGCCCGAAAAAAATGAAGGCCAAAAAATACTCGGTCGGGCCGGCCCGCTAAAAATGGGGCCCGAAAAAGATGACCCGAACGTCGGCCCGACTCGAAATCCCCAACCCTATATTTCGATATCGAATGAGAAAAATTTAGATATGTTTTCTAAAAAGATGAGGTTTCAAAAACTTCGTTAAACTTTGATAAATTAAAAATAGAAACAAATTAGAGTTGACCGTAACCGAGGCCTGAGAAAATTAATGAGCAGAAAAATAAAAAATTATCGTGATTGTGGATTTCCACAAGTTTTTACATTTTCGGGGTAAATATTTAAATTTATCTAAAATAAGCAAAAAACAAACTTTTTAAAGTACCACCATTCAAAAATCAAAATAATGCCGGATACAAGACTTGAAGTTCCAGTTAATGCAACATAAAATTTAGGCGTCAAATTGTTAAAATAAACGCCAACAGAGACAATTGACTCAAACTTTTCATAAGCTCGCAATGGCACTCGAAAGTAGTAAATAACCAAAGCAAGAAAAAGTAAGGAAAGAAGACAAATATATCCTTTGAAAAATGAAGGTAACATTTTTCTGCAACGTTGAGAAAGGCTCTAAAAAATATTTAATTGAACTAACTATTTTTATTTAAAGAAATTAATGTCTTCCAAAAATTTTGTAAAAAATTAATTTTAATTAAATTCCATCAAAAATTAATAAAAACCTGAGCCATTTGATTTGTTTTAACAGCTGACAAGTTATAAACAAAATAAATTCTTTTAAAATAATAATTCAATAAATCAACCAAATATAACTAGGCAAATAAAAGAAAATTGCAATTGCGCTCTAAAAAATTAAAAAAAAAATTAAAAGAAATGTATATAAAATATTATTTTAATTAGCTTCACGCTTCGAGTAATTCTATTCTAACATAACACAAAAGTAATCTCATAAAATTTACAAAATACAATTTCATAAGATTACCAAATTTATTAAGAAACTTTAAAACCTGAACAATCAAAAAAATTTCCAGCCGGCTGACGTTTTGGGATCAAATGTCATTTTTACTCTTTTTCTCTCACCACTCTCTCCATTTCACATGATCTTTTCTTTATTTTTCATAAAATTTTATTTGTTGTTTATTTGAAGCTTTTTTATTCTAAAATGAAGAGACATTTTGAGAAGAAACAAATTTCAATTGTTGAGAAACTTTACAAGTAAGAAAAAGTTTAAGAAATTATTTTAAAAATTATTTCCCAAATTTAGACAACACCACAAACAATCTTATGCATCAGCTGGTGGTTTTAATAGCGACGATGACGAATTAGAAGAAAGGCGAGAACAAATTTCTGAAGCATTACAAAAAAGTGAATAATTAAAATTTTTTTAAATCAAAAATTCTTTTAAGATCAAAATAAACTTTACGAACATTTGAGTCCGCCTGAACTTTGCTTAGATTGTAAAGGCCCTCTGTTTTCCGATGCCTATTTGTGGAAATATTTTAGTCAACCAATTTGTAATAAATGCAGGTTTTATTTTGTTTATTTTTAAATTAATTTTTATTTTGTAAGAGAATTGGAGAAACACAAATTAATTACTAGAACAGAAGCAAAAACTAAATTTTTGTTGACTGATGCAGATTTGGACTGTCGGAAACCGCCACTTCGCTACATTTCTCGGAAAAATCCACACAATCCACGCTATGGAGATATGAAATTATATTTACGTTCACAAGTAATTTTTTTGGTAATCCTGCAGAATCTGGGAGACACCTTAAAAACATCTTAAAAATTACTATTTTTTTCTGAAAATAATTTTTTATAGGTAATCGACCATGCTGGTCACGAATCTGAGTTTAGAATTTGTTTATTTCGAACCCCGAACTCGATTTCGACCAAGTCGAAATTCGGGATAAAAATTCGATATCAAAAATTTATAGATAATCTGATACGTGTATTCGAGCTGAGTCGAATGCCACCGAAATCACCGCGATCCGACTCCATAGAGCCGAGTTACAGACCCCCGAAAAATGAAAATTTTTGGGGTCAAAAAATCGAAAATCCAAATAATAGCTCATTCGAGAGAACTCGACGAGCTGAGTCGAATGACACTAGAATAAACTCGATTGAATGATTCTGAACAAAGTTATGACCAACGGAATCTTCGGTGGAAACCTGTGGGAATATACTAAAGTGCCCTCAAATCAAGTATATGATACAAAATCATAGATAAAATGTCACATTAGACAAAATCTGATATCAGATTCGTGATCAGCATGGTCGATTACCTATAAAAAATTATTTTCAGAAAAAAATAATAATTTTTAAGATGTTTTTAAGGTGTCTCCCAGATTCTGCAGGATTACCTTTTTTTTAATATTTTAAAATTTTACTAAAATCCTCGAGGCACGCGGACATATCAGGATATTTCAATGTACGAACATTTACCCTAATAATTTCGGGACCTACGGCCACAGGGTCTTGGATAGTACATTGTCCTATTGAGAAATAGTTTTTAAGTTTTAGAACAAACGTCAAGAAATTATTTTTGTCACTCCATTCCCAATATGTCCGTCTTGATATGTCCGCACACCATCCTCGATTATTAACCTCAATAACCCCAACAGATTTTCTTTTTTCAAAATTAATTATTTTTTTAAAAATTTAGCTAGAAGCAAGAGCACTTGAAGTTTATGGTTCTTTTACTTCCTTAGAACAGGCAAAACAAAAACGAGAACTCAACAGAGAAAAAGCAAATGAACGGCGATTTGAAAAGAAAATTCATTCAATGCGTAAAGAGGTGGGGGGAAAATATTTTTTTGAAAAAATCAAAAATTCTGTTCATTTTATTAATCCCTAAATTCCAACTATTCTATTTTAGTGTCTTTCGTTAAAAAAATTAAAAAAAAACAATTTTATTTCAACTAAATACAGTAGCTGGTTTAGATAAATTATTAATTACTGATATTTTCGCTAGCCTCTCTTCAGAATTTTTCTTATTATTAACTAAAGTAAAAAGTGAAGATTTTGATATTTTCTCTTCTGATTTGTGTAATGGCTCGAGATTTTCTTTCTAAAAATTTTTTAAGAAATTTTTTTAAAAATTCAAACCTTTAAAGAAATATCAAGTTGTGCCCCAATAAGTATTTGATATAACCAAGAACCTAAAAGAGCACCGCCAAATGGACAAAATATGGGTATCCAGAACCATTTGTAATTGTTATAACTAAAAATAAATTAAACAAAATTTTAGAGACTTTTTTGGTTGATAATATTTTGGAACAAAAAAACTCTATTTCCGATTTTCGGAAATAGGGAATTCCCAGTCCAGAAATCGTCAGAAATTTTGATCATATTTTCGGCGGGGAACGCTTGCACCGAAAGCGTTTAAAATTCGGATTTATGACCCGCGATGAAGAATTTTGGGACTTACGAACCAATAAAATTTTCATTTTTTCGATTTTTTATTTTATTTTTTTTTTCATTTTTTCAAAATTTTCATTTTTCTATTTTTTATTTCTTGTTTTTAACTATCTCATAAATATATTTTTTTATTCACTAAATTTACCTAAAAACTTCCCAACCATAACCAGCAATTAAAGTAAAAAGTCTGGGTCCAAGATCTCTAGCTGGATTCATTGCATTGCCTGAATTTAGACCAAAACCCATACAAAGCATAGCAAGCATTACACCCATTAATGGAGGTTGTGCTGCTATTGGAATTTCATTTCTCTCGTCTGTAATAATTCCTAGACTAAAACACAGCATTGCTGTTGAGAAAATCTGAAATAATTTTTTGTGAATTTTTGGAGTTTCTTTTGTATTTTGATGGACCTGATCAATTACTGCCCCAATAGTGCTTAAATGGCTGCCTGGATATGTAGCAAAAATAGCAGCTGTGGCATTTGGTCCACTAACTGTCCTAATTCCTCCATCAAATTCTTCAATTTTATCTTTAGAATATTTAAATAAAAATAATTTTTTTTCTCTTAAAATCTTACCATAATATAAAACAAAACAAAGAGCGGCCCCAACAAAAGCCCCAGCCACTTGGACAATTGTATAAAACCAAAAATATTTAAAAGAATTCAGCGTGCCAAAAGACCAAGAAAATAGGGAAACTGCCGGATTTAAATGAGCACCACTACAACGATAGGCACATTGTACTGCCAAAGTTAACGTTAATCCCCAACCAATACAATTACCCAAAGCTGATAACTTTTCTTCTTTGGATAAAAACATTTGTGCATTAATACATAGGCCGACATACTTTTAAATTATTTTTTTTAATTAATTAAAGATAACTGAATTATTAAATCTGGGAAACAATTCTTAGATTCAACTATGGGTAATTGGTTTAATTCTATGGGTTAATTGTCCGGCTGTATTAGAAAGAGATGTACTTCTCATACTTTTCACCTACTTTATCTATCTTTCAGTTTCCCTTTCTTTTAAACTACTCCCCTAAATTTTCTCTAAAAAATTATTATTAAAATTTAAAATAATATTTAAAAAAATATTTACAATAAGAAAAGTAGTTGCCACAAATTCACAAAGAAGGCAACGATATAGCCTGTTATTTAGTCGAAATTGTTCTCTAATTGCTTTTAAAAGCATTTAAATAAATTTCTAAAATTCAAATAATTATTTCTAGGTTTAATTAAAAAAAGTTTTGTTTAAGAAATAAAAGTTGATAAAAAATCATCTTTTTTTTTATTATTTTTTGTCTATTATCTGTTTATTTCAAATTTTTAAGTACAAACATAAAAATGATTTAAAATAACAAAGTCGTTAATTAAAAATGATTAATTAATTTTGGCGTGTTCCAAAAAATTTTTTATTTGGTTTTTTAGTTTTTATTTACTACAAGTAAATAATATTGAAAAAAACTTGAGTTAGAAAATTAGTAAAAATTAAAAAAAAACAAAAATCCTCGTTAGTTTATTTAGAATTTTTGAAAACGAAAAGTGTTTCAAAAAGATTTTTTGAAATAAAAAGGAGCTCATTCATAAAGAAGCATTCGTATTTTTGTTTTTTTATGACAAAATTTAAATATTTTTAGATCCTGGTCATGTGTTTTTAAAAAATTGTGATTGGGTTTAGCTATTCCCGACTTTTAAAAAATTGTTTCCATGTATTTTTTGAGAAAGGATCTTTGCCCAAAAATTTTCCTTTCAATTCTTAAGAGGCAATTTTAAATGTTTCAAGGATTTTAAGTTTAAAATTTAAGTACAATGAATAGGTTTGATCGATTTTTGTTTCGATTTTTAAAATTCAAAAAAAGAATGAACATTCCTTTTTCTCCTCGTTAAAATAAAAATAGAAAAAAGTATTTGCATAGTTATTTGTATTTTTATTTAATTTTTATATCGAGATATACCTATAACAATTGATGAATCATTTATTCTCTTTTGGTCAAAAAATAATAAAAAAAATTTTAAAAATTATTTTTCCATTTAATCCTTTCCCTATTTTTAGATGCGCGGTGAATGTTTAAAAGCTGCAAAGGCAGCAGCTTCATCGCATGAACATAAATTTGGGGCTGAAAATTATGATGAGAGGAGGAAAGATTATTGGAAATGCTGTACAGAATGTGAATATGAAATGAGATATGAAAAAGTTTAAAAAAATATTTAGATAGGTAGCTTGACTTTTATTTTTTATTTATTTTTATTTCAATAATAAAAAATAGTAAAAATTAAAATATTACTGAGAGAATTGCTTGTAGTTTCTCTAAATTAAGATTTAAGAATTTATAGACTCATTGTTATCTGACAGAGAATTTTAAATAATATTCATTGCAAAGTTCAAAGATTGTTATTTGTTTGCTTTATTTATTAAGTATTTAAATATTTTGGAATTTTTGCAGAATTATTGCCTTATCAGTTTATAGGAAGCTTGAAAATTCTTTAATGGAAGAGCACTAAACAGAAAGTTTTTTTTGAATTTTGTTTCTTTATTTCATAGAAAAGCAAATTTAAATACGTTTTAATTAATTATTCGATCATTAATCTCGCAAGATTGATGCCTCGTATCACTACCATTGAAACAATTACGAGGGTATAAAGAGAAAAATTTATTGTAGATTTCGAAAAATTGAAAGAAAGCCCGGTCTCTTTAAGACAAAAATATTTCGGTGAAATTGCTGTGAGAAAAAGAATTAAAAAATTAAACTTTTAAATTAAACTTATTAAATTAAAATATTAAACTTAGATTTAATATTTTCAATTTTTTGTTTTTATTTTCAAAATATCATTCGTAAATACATATACAAACATACATAAACATAAATATAAAATAATAATAAAGCACTTAATTATATGTTGAATGGAGATTTCGAAGTTTTTTTTTTGGGAAGTCTAACAAAGAAAACAAAGAAAAATAAAGTCAAAATAAAATGCTAATTTAAATAGTTATAAGATGCCTCCTAAATATTTTTTTTGTAAATTTTATTTAGACAGGTAATGTTGGATCGTAATAGTCATCTTCATCCTCACTCTCGTCGCCATCAATCTAAAAAAATATTTTTTCTGGGGGTCAATTTTAATTTTGAATGTGGATTTAAAAAATTAAAAATTAGGGTTTTGAGAGAAATTCTAAAAAATATTTTGTACTCCTGCCGTTTAAGGAGGCCCCTTTCTCTGTCGATTATGAGACTATAATTTTGGCACCAAATTTCAATTGAACCACATTTCATTTGTAAAAATAAATTTTAGTTAAGGAGTAAAGAAGGATAAATTTCAAGGTAGAAAGAGAACACTGGTCTCATAATGGTCAGAGAACAGGAGAGAGAGTATTTTTCTTTAATCAGCCGATTTTCTGTTTAAAAGAACAGACAAATCTGAAACCCCAAAAAAAGCAATTTTTTGATTTTCAGAAAAATTTTTCCCATTTCCCCTTTAATATGTACATATGTATATTTTACCGCTTTAAGTTCTGGTTGTGTAAAAATGTGTGGTAATACAATTTGCCTTAAGAAGATGAATAACATTAAAACACTAAAAAATAAATTTTAAAAATTTTTAAAAAATATTTTAATTAACAAAGGAAAAGCCAAAGCAGTCTTTTTAAAATATTTAACTGTGTAAACAACAAAAAGGCAAATTAATTGAATCCTGAAAAAAAATTAAAAAGTTTTTAAATTTAAATAAATTAATTACCAAGTATATAAATGCATTCGCCAAATGCTCATCTTTAAAAATAATTATTTTATTTTTAGAATTTTTTAAATTTTTTCTTTAACCTCTTGTGCATATCTTGTATCAGGCAAATACTTTTTGGGTATAAAGAAAAGAACAATTCGATGAATTAATTGAACCCCTCTCAAATTCATAACACCCAAATATAGAAAAACACCAAAAAGAGAAGCTAATGGTAATCTTAAATAATTTCCTCCAAATGCGATTAGCCCGATAAGAAGAGAAACGCCGATTGTTGTTACACGTTGTTCTAACTAAAGAATTTTTTAATTAAACAAAAAAGCACTAGAGGAATATTTAATCAAAAAACATTAATTAAATAATCAAAAGAACTTCAAAAATTTAAACACAATCAACAAACAAAGCTTAAACTCACAACATAATCAACTTCCGGTCTTGCCCCAGGTGCAGTTTTCTTCATAACAGATAATGACGAACAATGTGCTAAAGACTGAACAGCAGCAGCACACATCCAAGGCAATCCAAAAAGCTTTTTACAAAAATAATCTTAAAATAAAAAATAAATTTCTTTTACCGAACAAAGAAAAGCACAAATTCCCATCAAAACCAAATCCCAATGCATTCCACTCCCTTTTTTGCAACCCCTTTCTTTTCGACAAAGTAATAATCTTTAAAAATAAATTATTTATTAAAATAATTTATTAAATTACTCAGTTATTTCAGTCTCGACAAACAACAAAATAAAAACTAGCAAAGCAGCAATAAATGCAGTTAAAATTGCATACCAATCAGAGGCACTTATTTTTGGTTTTATTATTAAACCATGACCGCGTTCTTAAATAAAATTATTTTTCTAAATATTTTTCTAAAATCCTTACTTTCAAGGTTTGTAAAATTTATATGATCGGGCATATCCAAACGTTGCAAATAGGGGTCAGGAAGGAAAAGATGAACTGAAAATAATGGAATAATTGAGAGGTTAAAGGAAGGGGGAGTTATGTATATTAGAGATCGAGATTTTTGAAAAGCCTGGGCCTGATCCTGGACTCTGGAGTTTGATTTATTGACCTGGGCCGGATCCTGGGCCCCAGGAAAAACCCAGGAAGGTCAAAAAATGCCTAGACCTGGACTCTGGGTACAGGAAAATCCCAGGCCTTGGTCCATGTTCAGCCCGATCTCTAATGTATATTTTCAAAAATTAATTAGCAATACCCATAAGAGCAATTAATGTAATTGAAATTAAAACACCAAAGTCACCAATTATTTTTCTTAACTAAAAAATAAAAAAAATAATCTTCCAACAAACAAATTAAATTTACATGTTTTCCCAAATAAAAACTTTCTCTCAACTTTTTCAACATAAAAGCTAAAATAAAAGTTGAGAAAACAACAATCGCTGTAAGTAAAGCAGTGTTTGGTTCTGCTTCAAAACATTCAATTTCCTTATAATGTAAATTGCTTTGATGTTTAAGATGTAAAAATGTTGAGTTTAAATTCTGATTTTGAAGTAAAGAAATGTTGGTTATCCTTTGGATTTGTTCAGAAACATTGTTTAAATTAATGTTTTCGAATGTTTGGTTAGTTAAAAAATGTTGTGTTGGGGGAAGAAATGTTGAAGTAAACAAAATGTTGTTAGTGAATGTTTTGTTGAATGTTTTTGTTGTTATGTTTGTTGGAATTGAGGAAATTAATGATATGTTTGGATTGTTAGTTAAATTACTAAAAGAGAAAAACATCTGTTTTGTTTATTTCTTCTCTATACCTTAATAAAGCAGGTGTAGCTAATGTTGTTGTTGTATTTACAAAAATATCATTGTTAATATTTTTAATTTTATTATTACATTCAGAATGGACACGCTCATAAAAGAAATAGTCTTCAACTGGATTTTCTTTAAATGTCTTTAAAAATATTTTTAATTTTATTTTTAAAATAAAATAATAAGACAACAAACATGCCAAACAAAATGCAAACTTTCAGCAATAAAAATAGCAGAAATTAAAGTGGCGAAAATGTCTAAAAGAGTAATATTTTTAAAAATTAATTTTAAAAAGCTTTTCCCTTCCATTTACCTTCAGTAAATCGAGTAACATAAACTAAAAGACGAGCCCCATCTAATGCCGAAATACAAGTTGCTATAAGAAAAATAAAAAGGCCAGCATAAAATCGAACACTCAAAAAGTCTAAATGTAATGCTGCACAAAACTGAGGAAAAAATTTTAAGAAATATTTCTTTCAAAAATTAATTTTACATTGTAAAGACTAGCTTCAAAAATAAGTACAGGGCCTGTAGCACTCACTTAAATTTTTAATAAAAATAATTTTTTTTAATTAGAAACTAAATTTACTAATAAGGAGTGGTTGTGCAGAAAATAACCCCCAAATAACTCCACAAATGCATTGGGCAAATAAACTTTAAAAATGAAAAAAAATTTTTTCTCCTAATTTTAAAAAACAAAACAGACGTTTCAATTGTCCCCATTGTTTCATCCTTAATTTAAAAAAATATTTTTTAATAAAAAAGGTTATTTTTACAGTGTAAGTCCCCATTAAACCACCAAACGATATTGCCGGAACAAAACTAGCAAAAAACATAAATACAACACTAGAAGGAATAAAAATTATTTAAATTATAATTAAAGAGAAGGACCTAGTTAAACACTGAAAATTAGCAGCATCCCGAATGTCTGTCCTAAAAACATAAAAGGGAAGTTAAAATTAAATTAAGATTTTTTCATTTAAAGTTTTAATTTTTATTTTGATTGAAAGTTCTAAAACTTGAATATTTTCGAATTCAAATTCAATATTATTATTAAAAAAATTACAACTTGAAAGTGTTGTTGATTTCTAAAGGTCAAGACTAGAAATTGAACTGAAATCTCGATCGTTAAAAATTTCGATCGAGCCATAGAGTCAAGTCTCTCCATTCAAAACTTCTGTCTCAATATTATATCCATGTATTTCTTCCCACTTTTTTTATTAAAAATTTTTTTTATTTTACCAATAAAGTGGTAATCGTCTAGCAATGTCATTACGTACTCCCCTAAAGAGAAGACAATAAATTGGGAATAAATTATTCTTTTTTTCTGTTGAAGATAAAGAGGAGGAGGATGAAGGGGATGTTGATATTTGTTTATTATTTTCTGTTGTTTTTGAATGTCCGTTCGGAGGGGAAGAAGAAAATTTCGAATCTTTTCTGTATAATCTGTCTTGAGTATTTTGGGAAGGAGCAAAAGGTGTTAATGCAGCAACTTCTATTTTTGGTGTTGAAAGTTTTTTTAATTGTTGTCGAGATGGGATATTTGTTAACCGATCTGGCACCGTTATGACACGATCAACAACAGAAGCTAAAAAATTATTTTGAAGTTTATTTAAAATATAGAGGATTAAACAAAGACAAGACAAAAATGTTTAAAGAATGGGTTAAAACTAGGGTTGTTGGCGACCGGTTATTAACCGGTACCCCCGGTGTTCGGTTAATCTAAATTTTAGAAACATGGTTTTCGGTTTTGAGTTTTAGGCAAATACCGGTTTAATTTTGGGGGAATTTTAAGTAAAATCACCCATTTTCACAAATTTCCGTTTTTCGGTTTTTTAAATTTTCTAAAGACGGTTAATTTTTGACAAAAAATTTCAAAAATTCCGGTTTAAAACTGTTCGCCAACAACCCTAGTTAAAACTGTTGATTATATTATATCGCTCCGGTTATAAAAATATTAATGAGATAGCTCTAACTTAAAACAGCCCTTGAACATTAAAGAATAAGTGACAAAAATTTTTTGTTCTCTTGAGGTGAAGCATAAAAAGAGAGCTTATTAACTCAAAAAGAGTTAATTGAACTTATACATATATGATTTCCAAATAAATAGTTAATGAAAGCATAAATTAGTTATTTGGGTCTAGTTTCCCCTTTTAGTATATCTTAAACCCCCCCCCTCCCCCCATAACCTTTATCTTAATTATTCTTCACCTTTTTGTTGAACAGATTTCATTTCCTTTTCACGTTTTCTTAAAGCTTTCTTGAATTCATCACCAGAAATTAAACGCCTTGAATCAACCTTAAAATAATTTTTTTTCAATTTTAAAGTGTAAATGAGAAAATATTTTAACAAAAATTTTAATAGTTTTACTCCTCTCCGTTTATTTAATCCGCTAAAAAATAAAAAATATTTGTGTGAATGTTCTTTTTTCACAAAATTGCGCATTATGGATTTAGATATAAATAGTTGGACAGATAAATGATTGGATTTTGGGGGAAAAATATATATATAATTGGTCCTTAGTGAAAAAAATGACGAAAAATGACGTTCCAAACATTTGAAAGAACAAGATGAAAAAAAAGAATATTTTTAATTGCCAAAACAATTAAAAAATAAATTCAAAATTTAAATTAAGACCCAACAAAAGGTTAAAGATTCAGAAATTTAGGAATCTTTCAAAATTTTTGAGTAAATAAACAAACCACTAACCCATTAATAACTACATATACTTAAAATATTTAAACACAAAAAATATTTAAAAATTAATTTTAAACAAGAAAATACCTCTCCAGGTAATATAACCACAGCGCCGTCCAAAAATGATTCAAGACCTTCAATCAAATGGGAACGATGATCACGATTGGAGAAAACATTGTTTTTGAAGTACTAAATAAAAAAATTTTAAATTTAAAAATTAAATAAAAAATTTTTTGGAGGATAAAAGAGCGGATAACTAAAAAATTTTTTCAAAAATATTGAAAATAAAAAAATTACCTATCTTAATTATTACCCAAATAATTAAATATGTAAAAGATAAAAAATTCTCAACTAAATTTAAATTAAATATTAGCTAAAAATAAATAAATAATTTTTGTAAAATTTTAAAAAATTAAAAAATATTTATGTAAATAACAAAATAACTAATTTACAGACTATGTAAAAACCGATAGAATTTTTGAAACAGGAAACAAAAAAAGTAAATAATAAAGCTTTTGAAAAAGAGAAATTTTACTAATTTTTAAGTGTTTGAATCACCCGTTTAAAAAAAGCGAAAAAAGAAAAAAAGTTTAAAGATTTGAGAACAAAATGAAAGTTTAGGGATTGGGGGGGGGAGAGGGGGGGGGGGTAGATCTAAAAATTGTTTTGGTAAGGTTATCGAAACAAGAGAGGTTCCGATTAAATTAACTAAAATATTAATCAAAACTTTAATTAAAAGGAGAGAGGTTAATAGACTAGCTATTTTTGCTCTAATTAAAGTAATTGCCCTTAATAATAACCTCTCTCTCCTTCCATTATAAACAAACAATCCCTCCAAACAATCACCCCCCCAAAAAACACTTAATTTGCTTTTACCGTTGACAAAATTTAGATAAAAACATAAAACAATTGTTTATCTAAATATATTCAATAGTCTGCGCAAAAGTGGAGGGAAGGAGGGGGGATATATAAAAATAACAAAGAGAAAAGGTTAATGAGAGGAAAAGATAAATAAATATTCTTTAAATGAAGAAATAAAATTTGTTTGTAATTTACTAAAAAATATTTGGAATGGTTGGATAAATATTAAAATTATTTTGTAAGAATCAGCGATCTTCAATCAAAAAATTTCTAATGGGGGTTGACCTGTTTAGCTAACAAAACAAGTCAATGTACTGCAAGGATATAACTTAGTTTCAAGCTATTGGCCCTCCGGTACGATAGGGGGGGAAGACAAATTTTGTTAAATAATTTTAAAAATAAAAACCTAACTATCATTTTATTAAAAAAAGGAAATAACTAAAAATAATTCCTTAATTGACAAATAATTTTAGCTAACAGAAACTAGCTTAATAAAAAGAAAAAGATAGAATTTGATCCAAATTCGATTAGACACTTTCCTTTAGCGTTTCTATTTATTTTTAAAACAATTATTTTCATAACTAGGGGGGGCAAGAGACGTTTTGGAAATTGTCCAAAATATTAAAATATTCCCCCCACCTTATTAGCAATTAAAGTAGCCAATGAAGTACTCATTTCGTTATCTAAAGGTTCTTGATCAGTTTCATCACCTTTAATTTTAATTAATTTTTAAAAACAAAAATTTAAATTAATTAATTACCAATTTTAAAATGAATGTGTTGGTGATTATTGTTTGGAGTTGAGGTTATTGCTTGTAGATATTTATTTTTTTGTTCAATTTGTTCTGGAGATTCTTCATTTGAAGAACTAAGTAATAATGGGTCAGTTGAAGAAGGATAAAGATTGTCCATTTTTTTATCAAAAAATATTAGTATTTAAATATATAAATAATTAGTAGTATGTTGTTAAAAAGGCACAAAAATAAAGAAATAAATATAAGTCTGAAATAAAATTTTAAAAAATTTTATAATTTTATATCGACGAGTAAGGTTGCTGGTTCGCAAAAAATCATTAGACATCTGGAACTGAACCGAAGAACAAACCAAAAAAAATCTCAGTTAGATTTGGTTACATTCTGAACGGACATCCCTACAGATGAGTAATTAAGTAAGGTTGTCGGACTAATAACCTTACTCATCAAAGTCTAAGTTATCGGTCAAAAATTTTGTCGACATCATCAAATACTAAAGTCCGGTCTCAATAAATAAATAACTAATCAGAATTAAATCAGAAAACTTTTTCTTTATAATTTAATTGTTATAAAGATTTAAGCACAACAATGGTTCTTCTGACTAACAACCAGTTTTAAGTTATGTTTTAACCAGCATTTATGTAATAAAGTACAAACATTTAGAATAATTTTTATTTCAAATTTAGAACTTGAAACAGAAAAAGTTTTAATTTTCAGACTTTTAATTGAAGTAAAGAAAAAGTTTCAGAAATCAAAGAAAAACAAACAAAAATCAGAAAATGTGTGAAGTAAAAAATAAAGTAAATATTTTTAAAAGGGATAAATAAATATATACAGAAAGTGAATAGAAAGAAGAACAAAACAGTTTTTTGTTTTGCTTCTCTTACCAAAAATTTTTTTTTGATTAAAAAAGTGTGAGCACTTTTCAGATTTTTTTTATTTTTCTTTTGTTCTAAAAAGAAAACATTAAAATGTTAAGAATTTAATAAAAGAAAAGGGGAAGGAAGGGAAGAAACAAAAAACTTGGGATGCGTTGATCTATTCACAAATTAAGAAAAAAAGAAAGGAAGGAATGGCCAAATCTTAAAAACTTGCTGCTTTTTCTTTTATTTTTAAAGTAAAAATTAAATATTTTTTAGAGCTTTTGTTGTCTTCCTTTTTTATTTGGATATGATTTTATTGAAATATATATTTTTTTCATAAAATAGACTAGGGTATACGGAAAGTAGACGTTAGATACTGAACTATTTAACCATAAAAAGTCGAAGGTTAAAGCAGGGAAGAGTGAGCTAGGTATATAAATTAGAGAACTTTATTGTCAGTATAATTATGTACATACATACCAGAGATGGGTCGGAACAGTCAGAGGTGTCGGAAATCGGAATTCCGACCCACCTCTGATAGCATAGAGGGTTTACGTAAATTTGTATATTATATTCCATTAATTATACTTTAATATCTACAACCTTTTTTGGGAAGAAAAGGAAAAATAATAGATAAATTATTGGGGCCATCGAACAGACAAACAAACCGGAGAGAAAGGGAAAAGAATTTTTTGGAAAGGAGAAGGATTGATTATGCTTTTAGCTTGTGTGAAATATTATATATTTATTTAAATGGAGGCTAAAAATATTATTTATAAAGGTCAAATAAATGAGGAAATGCAACAAAAAATAATTATTTAAATATTTTCTAAAAAATATTTTACAAAATGGCAAAATAAATAATTTTGTTTTCAAAAAGAAAATATTTTTTTTCGGTAAATTGTTCGCTCTATGGGATGGAAGGTTTCGAAGAGAATTTTCAGGGAAAATAAGGAGGATTTCTAGAATTTCTAGACTTTTGGGAACAGAGGAGAGGGCTAAAAGTCAAACGAATATTTTATCTTCATCAGGAATCTGATTTTGTAAGAGGTAAAAATCAATTATCTGCTTCGTGTATTTTTATTTATTTATTTATTTATTTATTTACGCCTTGATGGCGCGAGTTCAATATTTAATATGAACAGCCCGGACCGAGACGAGATCTTGATAAAAAATCTTGGTTATCGAGATCGAAATTTTTCGAGATATCGATTCTCTTACAACACTCCCAGCCCGGGCTCTAATATTTATTAACTTTAATAAATAAAAAAAATAAATAATAAAATCTCAAATTGTTGCCAAAATATTGAGAAAGATTTTCAAACAAAAAAGGTGTAGAAAAAGAAGAAAATGTTCAACATTTTTGTTTTAATGTTTGTGCATATATGTATTGGCATTCACTTGTTTTTTAAAACAAAGGAAGGAATATATTAATTATTTAAAAATAACCTTCTTTTTTTAAATAAATAAATAAAAATCAAAAAATAATTTTTTTATTTTTAATCTAACCAACTATCTAAAGCTTTTATTTAGTAATTTGTTTATCTAATTTGTTTTTATTTACATTAAATAATAAATATTTTTTGTATTTTTAAATATATGTTTATAACTTTCAATACAATTTAAGAGCCGGAAACGGTGAAATCTTGCAAACATTTCTTTTTTAGAGAATTTTTTAAAATTTAATATCTTGGAAGTAAATAAAAGAAAAATTCTGAAATTTTTTAAAAAATACTAGTATGTTTTTAGAGAATCTTTTGCTTTGTATATTGTTATTTAATTCAAGATGTCATTTAATATGAATTTAATATTTACTGCAAAATTTCACATTCATTTAAGGCTCGTGCCGTGACAAACATTTAATCAAAAAATTTATTTTATTATCTCCCCTTCATTGTGTACAATTCTTATCAAAATTTCCATTATTTAAATCCTCTATATCCACAGGCAAAGTATCCCAATATTCAACAAGTCCACATGAACTTATTCTCTTTTTTACATCATCTTCATAATAACCTAAAAATTATTTTAAAAAATAAATTTTTTTAAAATAATTAAATATGTACCTCCAATTAAATATTCTTTGCCAATTTCAAGATAAGCGCCACAAGCAGCGCTTTGTGAAGCCGTATAAACAAAATCTTTCTTTCTTTTTGGATGACATATTTTATCCTTTATTTTTAAATATTTTTAATTATTCCAAAATTAAACACAACTTGCCTTGTAAATATTCAAAATTTTAACAGTATAACGAACTTCTCTTGAAAACCCTTCAGTTTCATTTATATTTTCTTTTTTGAGTGATAAAATATGAGCGGCTTAATTTTTGTAAATTAATGTTTTAAAATTAATTTTGTTTATGTTTATTTTATTTATTTATTTATTACCCCAATCAGACCGACAATAATTAATTTGGATTGATTGTTGGGCACATTTACATGCATTTACAAAATTAATATTATAATGATATATTATTAGAAAAACAAAAAAATAAAAAATAATTAATATTTTCATTCTTCAAATATTTAAATTAAATAAAGACAAGAGGGGGGGGGGACACTTTCAACATAAAATAAAATTTTCTTTAAATGAATAATTTTATTTATTTTATTAAAACGTTTATTCCTTAAGCAAATAAAATTTCGATAAAATAAATGACAAAACAGGTGAATAAAATTTTATTAAATAAACGTGTGAAAGGAAATAAATGGTAGAGGAAGTGAAGAATTTTTTTTTGAAATTTCTTTTAGTCGTGTGGTAATTTTTGTTTAAAATTTAATAAAAATATTTTTGAAATAATAAATACAAAAATAAATTAAATGCTATATTTTTTGTTTAAATTTAGATTCCATCATATTGATGAATTAGGAATTATTGAAGAATTAGGATAAAAAATCAAAGCAAATTCTTAGTAACGACTTAATTAAAAAAATTTAAAAAAGTGAAAATCTTTTCTCAATTCTTTTTATTGAGACAGGAAGATTATAAGACAGAAAATATTATTCATCTGAGAAACAGAACAATCTTAAAATCAGAGATAAGATCAGGATACATCTTTACTCAAATAGCCCAGTCAAAAAATTTTGTAAAAAACATATTCCCGTTGGTGAGCTAAAAAGTAAGTTTTATTCTGGAGATCTTTATTCAACTATATTCCGGTCTAAAGAACTAAGAATACAAGGCTTTTAAATTAATAAAAGATTCGGGCAATTATTTTACCAAAATTGTGTAAGAAAAATTAAAACGATTCATGGGAATATATTTTATTATTAATGGGGAGTATTCTAAGTTTTCAATGACTTTTATGCTTGAAAAGCAAATGTCATCAGACAAGTTAAATGAAAAAGACCATTTATCACCTTCTTTATCTCAACTAAAAGGATAAAAGGCTTATATCTCACAATCGGTCAAAAAACGGCAATTAAGATAACGCAACGAATTAAATCACATTCGTCTTGAAATTTCTAGGCAATAACTTTTAAAATTTATAAGAGATCTGGGAAATTCTCTTTCCAAAATTTTGGGGAAAAACATTACTCAAGATTCTTTCAATGAGTCCCACGGACACCTCAGGCACCCTCCTTTGTCGTCAAAGGGTAAAAACAGTCGTTCAAAAGGATACTCCTTAACTCATATACTCATCTCCCTATTCCTATATCTCAGTCAAAAAAAAAGAAATCCCAAATCATACAAATATTTATTTTAAACAAACAATATATACAACAATGTTTGGGCAATATATTATCACAACAAAAATACATTTACAACATAATAGGATGAGAGTGATTGCACAACATATAGGACACAATATACAGTGGGAATATATCACAAGGGTGAGAATCTTTTCTACATGGCAATCACAGTGGCACTTCATGATCATCACGCATCTTCCGCTTCCGTCCTATTCGCGTTCGAAGCGCACGTAGAGACGTTTGATGCCCTGCTCCTTCTTGACCATGTCCCACTGCATTCGCGCCTTCGTGTTCGAGTCTTCGGTGTCGTGGTTGTAGACCGCGACGTCTGAAAAGGAAAAAAAGCTTGATTGTGGCAAAAATGAAGAGTGCAGCAACAAACATTGGCGGTCGTCCTCTGGCAGGTCTTCCTTGGTCAGGAGAAGAAGCCTAACCGTCGCCGAGCTTCCAGGTTTCAGAATGCCGACAGGGGGCCGGATCTTGATGAGCTCATTGCTGAAAAATAAAAGAGGGTTAGGTCTGTCCTAAACGACGCAAAATGGTTGACGCTTACTTCGTGCACTTGACTTTGTAGAGCTGGATCGTGTCTCCTTTGTTCTCGATCT